AGCTACTTTAGATATATAAAGTAGCGCCTGACTAAAATTAGACCCCTGAAATTAGATCTTCATGCATGCACTAAATCATAATTCTAGCCCAGGGCTACTTTAGATAGGGTGGCTACTTTAGATGCAACAATATCTCGTGATTTGGTGATCCAATTTAAATGATTTTGGTATCATTCGAATCTTCTCGAAGATACAATTCAAATATATCAAAATCATCTAAATTGGATCAATAAATCGCGAGATATCACAGTTTTGAACAAACTTATTTTAATTGTCATTTTGTACAGACTTGAATGTTATTTTATTAAATATCATTTTGTACAAAATAGAATGGCACTTTGTATAAAATTGGGTGTTATTTTGTATGAAATTAAATATCCTTTTGTACGAAAAGGGATATCAAATTAAATTTTATATAACGATAAACTTCAATTATATTGATTAGTCGGTGAATATTTTAACTTCCAGATCGACATTTTCATAGACAAATACTAATATATTATGAGCGCATGTGTGGATCGGATCTGTATTATTTCACCGACAATCACTTCATAGACACCATATTCAATCGACAATTATTCACCGACAGTTTATTTCACTGAAATTCATTTCATCGACAAGTTTTTTTTTTTATAAATTACACTAACTTAAACTTTAGTTCTAACCTGACCCTAGTGATATTGACCAGAATTACTTTGTCTATAAAATGAACTCCAGTGAAATAAACCGTCGGTGAAGTGAACTTTTCGGTAAGTAATTGTCAGTGAAACGTAGTGTCTATGAAGTGATTATCGGTGAGTTGATCGGATCCGGTGCGGATCGTACATGAAATTTCTTATTTTAATATGAAGAAAGCATGTGATCATGAGTTCTTCTGAATTATTAATCTTAATACGTACGTATAGATTTTGGCCACCTATTTTAGACAAATTAAATCAAATTCGGACATATTAATGATTAAATTTGAAACAATTTTAGACATCATACGTAGCAATCAATTCAGCGATATCTCGTAATATAGTAATCTAAATCACATGATTTTGGTACCATTCCACTTGTCTTATTAAGACGAGTAGAATGGCACCAACATCGCATATATTACCAATTAGTGCATTAAAACATCTAGATCATATGTACACAAACAAATCATAGGTATTAAAAGCACTAAGTTTCTAAAAATATGAATTTGAAAATCTTGACTAATTTCCTAACTAATAATGAAAATTTTTAAATTGGCTGGTTTTTGAATCAAATTATTCTTTTGATATACGAATATTCTGTTTATGGTGTCCACGTGCGTACGTACATAACTAGAATTAGAGTAATTCTGTGTGAAAATTTTAGGATTACAGGATTGCATGCAAATTTCGAAATATTTTGAGAAAAAAAAACACAAAATATTAGCTATTTAAGATAAAGGTTTGCACGCGCAGATTTTTGGAGAATCGGTGATCTATTTTTAATGATATGTAAACAATTAAGGAAAAGTAAAAAGTACCAATTTAGTTTTCAATTTTAATTAAAGACTCAATTGAAAGATTTGTCATTTGAAATTTGTATATAAACATGCCTTAAATTCTTAACGTTCCAAATTATTAAAATTAATTCATTACAACATTTTAAAATCCTTTTGAATTAATAGAGACGTAATTTTTAAAGCATCCTCTACATTTGCAAATAATTATGAAATTCTTATCGATCTTGGCCACTTTCTTGGTATTTATCATTGTTATCGCTCATGCAGTCCCCATTGAAAGGAAGTTAGGGCCGAACGCCCACGCACTGGCGGAGAAAATCAGGATTATATACTGGAATAATGCCAACGATGCGCTAAAAATCTATCAAAGCTATGATAAAGAAATAAAAGATTTTGATAATAAAATAAAACAAGCCGCAAAAGAAGACGGTACAGACGAGAAAACTGTAGAATGGTTAACGAAATGGAATGAAAATTATGGGGAGCTTGCAAAAGAATTGAAATCATCCTCTGCACATTTACTTTCTGCAATTGATAAGCTTAAGACAAAATTAGGGGACTAAATATAATTCCGAATAATTTTTTAGATTTTTTAATTTAATTTTTAATTTTATTTATTTTATTCACAATCGCTCTTCCATACTATATTTATGTTCTACGTCATTTCACAATTTAAGTCGATTCCAAATTGAACCAAGTCATTTTTAAATTTTCAAACGATGTATGTTATTTCTCAATCGGTGAAAACATAAATTTATACGACCAGGTATATAACCGATAATAAAACATAAATTTATACGACCAGGTATATAACCGATAATAAAATATTAACTATATCGAAACGTTCTTTTGTATAAATAAAAAATTTACATAATTTTTACAAAAAAAGAAATTTACCATTTGCGTAAATTACTGCTATATTAAAAAACGTAATGCTTTATAAAATTTATATATAAAAAAAAAAAAAAAAATAGCACAATAAAAGCATATAAAAAATTCGCATAACTCAAAATCATATAAATCTAAAAAAAGAATCTCATCGATTTTTACATTCACCGCGTATAATCGCATCCCCATCATCATGTACATAACAAGTTTCTTTTCAGTAGGGATGTTAAAAAGTCCGTCTGGTCCAGTCCCAGTCCGGTCTTTAAAAAGTCTGGTCCTGGACTGGTTAGAAACTAGGTTATAACTCCTGTCCGAAACCAATCCAACTCTACTGGTTTTAATATACAATGCATATACGTAATTTTGAAATTTTGTATTATACAGCAAAAAAAACGGGACACTTCAAGAACACGGAACCCAGTGATCATCACATCAACAGGTGAGACCGTCCCAAATTTGGAAATAATGATCTGAGTCACCCGATCGTTACACAATTTTTTTTTATACGTTTTACAGTACTTCTATTAAAAAGCCACGGCCAATCAAATTCGTGACTTTCAATTATAAGCGAGTTAATTAAATAGA